GCCTAGTTGAGGTGAGTGGCACTGGTAAGGATGAATGAAAAATTATAAATTATAGGTAGGCCTGTTACTATTTATAATAATTGTGATTACAGCACTTAATAAAGGTCAAATAAATAGGCCTATAAAAATAAATAAATAAACATTGAAATTATAACAACAACATGAGTAATAGAACTAGTCAGCTCTTATGCCTATCCAGGTGAAGCATGCTCAATAAACAACAAAATACCAAATGCAGACATGTTATTATTTCCAAAAAGCAATTTAAAAAAATAGGCCATGACGACTTTTGGGATTGCCGGTTCAAGTAGTGGGGGGCAGAGGGGTTGGGGGGCCAGTCAAAGGGGTGTGGCGGGCCTGATTCGGCCCGCGGGCCTTAGTTTGGTGACCCATGCAGTAGAGCATTACAATAATCTAGCCTTGATGTCATGAACGCATGAACTAACTGTTCCGCATTTGTCAATGAGAGCATATGGCGTAATTTAGATATCCTTTTAAGATGGAAAAATGCGGTTTTACAGATACTAGACACCCTCTCTACAGTCTATTTTGATTCATCAACAAGTTTCACTGATGTTCTAGAATAAACCCTAAACCCAGGATAGAGTGGTTGAGTGAATGTGGTCTGGACTGTGTGTATGAGGTTCATTGTATCAGAGACGCTGTAGAAGGACAGAGTTCCTGCACTATGATCCACATACACTCCTATTTTACTGCTGATGAACTTTCCAGGGAGATCAGTCCATACCTCATTGTGTCTGAATGAGTAATGGGAGAAAGAGCAGAACAAACTCCAGGACTGATCATTATATCCAAACCGACACTTATTACCCCGTCCCTTCCTGCTGATGCTCTTATATGACACTGATATAAACACACCTCTCCCACTCCACTCAATCTCCCAGTAACAGCGTCCACACACACTCTCTCTACACAACACCTGCTGACACACATCAAATCTGTCTGGATGATCAGGATACGGCTGGACTGTGAGAGTGTCAGAGAATTGAATCACTCTGTTCTTCCCAGATAGATGAAGGTTTTTATGTGCTGTGTTCTGATCCAGACTGAGCTGAAGGGAATCTGATGGAGAGAAAACACACCAGAATCAGAATCAATATGAATCTGATCTTTTAATTTACACTTTTAAACAATTTTTAGTGCTTGTCAAACAATTAAAATGAGTTAAATCCACACAATAACTGAACATTTTGTCTTCACTTAATTTTTTGTGTGTAAAATCCACTTTAATGTGTAAAACTGAAGTTTTTCTTTATCCATTTGAACTAAATAATAAGTGTTGAATTAACTTAAACTGGTCAGTGGATTTTTAGTTCCCGGACAATGTTAGGAAGATTGTTCCAGAGTTTTGGGGCTAAATATGAAAAGGATGGGGAGCTAAACCATTTAGTGCTTTGTAAGTAATCAGCAATATTTTTAAATTTATACGATGTTTAATAGGCAAGCAATGCAGGGTTGACAGAACCGGACTAATAAGGTCATACTTCCTGGTTCTGGTAAGAACTCGAGCTGCTGCGTTTTGGACTAGCTGGAGTTTGTTTATTAAGCGTGCAGGGCAACCACCCAGTAGAGCATTACAGTAATCTAGCCTTGAGATCATGAACGCATTAACTAACTGTTCATGTCTGAATTTATTGTTGTGTATGTGTATAAAAGTGTGTTTGTGTGTGTGTGTGTGTGTGTTTGTATGTGTGTGTGTGTGTGTGGGTGGGTGTGAATTTTTTGCACTCTTGATGTTGTAGAGTGTCACCCCTTTACTGTGGTATAGTTCTTTTAAGAATCGTGGCCGATTTGTAGATTCTACAAACAAAAAATCAGAGAGTTTTTGTTTTTTTGTAAATTTCCCATTCATTTTCTATGGGTCGGTCACTTCTGACCGAAAACCATGAGTGTTTTTACAACCACTTAGCATGCTCGGATCATGACCTCAATTTTTTTTTGTATTCACATACCAAATACCAAAAAAGTCACCAAGTATCATAACCTTCGAATGAAGCTGTGATTTTTAATAATTCAAAAAATCATAGGGTTAAATATATGATAAATGAACGGTTTCTTCATTGTTCCATTTCCATTTCGAATTTATGGGTTTGTTAATGCTTCACTACCGCATAATAGACCCTTAAAATAAAGTGTTACTCAGTGTTATTTTGTTATTTCATGTTTTCTTTCACCTTCTACAGGAAGAACGTGAACACACTCAGTGAGATTTCTGCTTGTTTTCTTAGTGACTTACATTGTAGGAAGTCGTTCCTGGTCTTGGGAACAATGTTGTTGAGAGTGACTGTGGAAATCAACAGACATGAAGAGTGTGATTATCATGTCTAGAGAAAATGATCCCTGCATCTGTTCTAAGACATTTCTAATATGATCTTCTACATGATTTGAGATGATGGAGGATGATTTCTGAGAGCAGGATCTCCAGGACTTTACCTCTATCAGAGATCTTCTTCAGCTCCTCTTTGCAGAAATCCTCCAGTTTGACTCTCAGCTGATGGACAGATTCTCTCACACCATCAAAAGAGGAGAGACGACTGAAGGGATTGTCATTGACGTCTGTAGATTCAGGAGGAGCCGAGAGAGACTGGAAACTCTACAGAAAACAGAAATCAAAGCTCATCACCTCCACACTTTATCAATAACATGCACTACTGTCAGATTTGTGCGGCTCTTCTTCTTTAGTAACTCTCCTCAATCCAGCCCTTCTCATATTCATTGAATGACATTAGAGCTACATTCTAGTGTTTGCCATTTACACAATATGTAAAACTTCTAGGAAATCAATTAGATGATAAAGGTATCTACCAATAACATAAATATAAAAGATCAAGCGCATCAATGAGGGTTGTTTCTAGACATAGGTGAAATAGTTAACAATGTTACATAATGACACTGCATTTTAGCAGAAAATGTGCTAAGAACATTTAAGCACAAGACACATTAGCATAAGAAAGATATCATTTTTAAATGTTATGAGAAAGACTGTGATCATGAATTCAAATGTTTAGTGTATATTGAAATTCTATATTTAAAAAAATTATGACAGCAATAGCAAAGTACAATGTTGGGTTGGTTATAACCACATAAAAAAAAATAAAAAAAAACGTTTGTCCATAAAAACCATAAGTGATCCATTCCCAAATCTAAAGGTCAGTAATATTTCAACATCTATCTTAAACAATGTTGCCAGGGTAGCGGTTTTTTGGGGGTTTTGAGTTGTCATTGGGCTTGAAATATTTCTGGGACCTGGCAACCCTGATCTTAAATGAAATATTTAAAACAATCTTAACCCTGTCTGCTAACAATTTACAATAATGTTCAGTTCTAAGTTTTTAGTTAATGAGAGAGACATTCACCAAGGGACTGTACCTTTAAAGTCCCCGTGAAATCAAAATTGAACCTATTTACTTTCTTAGCGCATATTACTAGTCTTGTGGTGAACAATTAATCCGTGCAAGTGAATATATATTAAAAAAATGTTTTACCTTAGTAATCTTTAATCAAAATCTGAAAAGTTACTTCCGGTCTGGAACAGTTTCTTTTTCTGATGACGTAGGTTTCACAGTTTGGGTGGGGAAACGCTTAACCACTCCCCTCAAACCGTTAGTTTGCTATGAGCGAGAGATGGAGAGGAGGAGCGCTAGAGTAAAACCCTGCCCTCTGTTCAATATTTCGTTTCACATGGAAATACGTCACAGCACTGGAGAAAAATCGTTTGCAACTTCCGGTTCACAGGGACTTTAAGGGAGAGGTTAAGATACAGCAGTTTCGGGTTAACATTGTGTGTGGTTGTTTTGATCTCACTCTCGGTACAGTGATATAGAATTATTGAAGTGGAGAGTAAAGCTGACTCGACGCATCTCTTTCTCTTGTCTCCTCATTTATTGCACTCCACAAACGAATCATTTACAAAACATGACAATACATTCGTATATTATTAAAGTGGTAGGCAGGGGCGTTGCTAGGCATAAAGCTCTACTGGGGCACAGGTCCCCCATTGTTTGTCTGGGATAGCAACAGTAACTAAGGAAGGCGGGGCTTACTAATAGGTTAATTATTATTAATGATACATTGTTATCACACACAATGAAACATAGTAGTACAGAACACAACAATGTGTTTATTTTATGTGCTATAGTGCTGAAGGCTGGGGCGATTGTTTTAAAAACCCCAGGCTGTTGGTTCTGAAAGTTAGGGGGTTTTAGGGGAATTTTCCCCCGAGAAAATTTTGATTTCTCCGACCTTCATATGAGCATTTAAAGGTGCTTCAAGGCCAAAAAATTGGATTACAATTAAAAGCATGTTAGTGGACAGCAGTAGCATAAATGATTTGTCAAGCAGATAACAGATTGTTAAACATGAGAATAAGGATAAATGTAGCAATGAATCATCCACACTACAAAGTGTGATTGTCATCATTCAATTTGTTTTTGCGTAGTATCTCTGCATACAAACATAAAATGATTAGCCCACATACACACCAAACTATACACAGATATGAATTATGTAAAACACGTGTGACTTTTGCTTGTTCAGAGTGCAGCGGAGTGTATAGGAGTTTGACGCACAAATACACTATATATACACTATGTTTGATGAATGTTAGTTATTGAACTGAACTGAACTGAATCAACATTGAAGTGACTGTTTACTGAATATTGACGCTATTGGCTTGTTGGCCAAGCTGCCTCTCATGCGATTTGTCCCTGTCCCTGCTTCTTTGAAAAAAATTCTCATGTCCATCTATGGAAGCCAGCAATGAATAAAAATTAGATTATTTGTATTATTTACAAACTTTTGTTTCGTCATGTTTTCATAGCCTACCTCAATTCACCTTGGCTAAGCCACGCCCTAGAATGTAGACTGACCAATCACAGCGCAGCCAAGAACGAGCTCCCACAGAGGTCCGACACTTTTTCACAGCGCTCCATTGACTTTCAACACAGGCGTCTCATATTTTTGGTCTCGCCGGGCTATTACCGTCGTAGTTTTATCCAAAATATGGTTAAACGTTGTGCCTGGGCCACACTTTTCAGCAGATGGAAGCATGAAGTGCTCCAAAATCTCCTGATAGCTAGCTGCAATAACGACCCTGCCCTTGATAAAACACAGTGGACCAACACCAGCACCCCAGACCATCACTGACTGTGGGTACTTGACACTGGACTTCAGGTATTTTGGTATTTCCTTCTCCCCAGTCTTCCTCCAGACTCTGGCACCTTGATTTCCGAATGACATGCAACCACTGAGCAACAGTCCAGTGCTGCTTCTCTGTAGCCCAGGTCAGGCGCTTCTGCTGTGGTTTCAGGTTCAAAAGTGGCTTGACCTGGGGAATGCGGCACCTGTAGCCCATGTCTGCGCAAGGTGGCTCTGGATGTTTCTACTCCAGACTCAGTCCACTGCTTCCGCAGGTCCCCCAAGGTCTGGAATCGGTCCTTCTCCACAATCTTCCTCAGGGTCCGGTCACCTCTTCTCGTTGGGCAGCGTTTTTTGCCACACTTTTTCCTTCCCACTGAGGTGCCTTGATACAGCACTCTGGGAACAGCCTATTTGTTCAGAAATGTCTTTCTGTGTCTTACCCTCTTGCTTGAGGGTGTCAATGATGGCCTTCTGGACAGCAGTCAGGTCGGCAGTCTTACCCATGATTGCGGTTTTGAGTAATGAAACAGGCTGGGAGTTTTTAAAAGCCTCAGTAATCTTTTGCAGGTGTTTAGAGTTAACTAGTTCATTCAGATGATTAGGTTCTGAATAGCTCGTTTAGAGAACCTTTTCATGATATGCTAATTTTTTGAGATAGGAATTTTGGGTTTTCATGAGCTGAATGCCAAAATCATCGGTATTAAAACAATAAAAGACCTGAAATATTTCAGTTGGTGTGCAATGAATCTAAAATATATGAAAGTTTAATTTTTATCATTACATTATGGAAAATAATGAACTTTATCACAATTTAAGCTAATTTTTTTAGAAGGACCTGTGTAGTGGGGCACGTGCCCCAGTAAAAAGGGATCTAGCAACGCCCCTGGTGGTAGGCTAATGCTTTACAAATGTGATTTGTAAAAAATTTGTAACGGAATCCTTTGGGTTTTTTTCGCTACCGGTCCAAAATTATACTTTTAAAATGGTATTGGTGCCCAAATGGTGCATGAACTGACACTTTTAAAAAAAAAGAGAGAGCCTTAAACGATGGTGAATGACATTAAAGGGCCCCTATTATGGATTTTTGAAAATGACCTTTCATGTAGTGTGTAACATAGCTCTAAGTGAATGAAAACATCCTGCAAAGTTTTAAATCCGAAAGTGCACCGTTTTTTAAACGAGTCATAAACCGTTTCGTTGTGACGTCAAGACGAAACATTATCATATTGCCCGCCCACGAATTGCACGCACAGACACTTGAACCTCAAACCGGCAGCTGATTCCTGTGGATCATCATGTCGAGACGATGATGTCCTCTACAATGTGAAGGTAAAGCCAGTTTTAAAGCCAGAAGGTAAAGAATCAGTGGTTAAAATTCATCTTTACCACAATACCACAGCTCTATAATCCTAAACTTTTGCTGTGATCCCTTAATTTTACTGACGACAGCTTCTCAAATCTCGGAGTTAAATGCAGGATTCGCAAAAATGCTCTTGAAAGATGGTGTTAAAAAAAATAGTTTTGATTTTTATATTGTGTAGGTCTCTTGCTAACTGGCTTAATCCAGCTAGTCCATAACTTTAGAACACATCCAAACGGACCATAGGGCGTGGGTTCGCGGACGGACCAAGGACACATGCTCAGGGACAGTGGATTCGAAACCGGGTCTCTCGCACCAAAGTCATGTGTCTTATCCACTGCGCTATCACCACCCGATTGCAGTCAACGTCTCATTCTGCTCTCATTAAGTGTTTCTCTCTGAATCTCTTGCTGAAGTGCACTATGACCCTGTTCTTCTAGATCTGTGTTACCTGCAGGAACTGGATGTGATCCTGTGTGTGTGAAAGCTGCTCCAGCTCAGCGTGTCTCCTCCTCAGATCATTGATCTCCTGCTCCAGTCGCTCCAGTCGTCCTTCAGCTCGACTCACTGCAGTCTTTTCCTGATCTCTGATCCGCTGTGTCGCCTCAGAGCGGCTTCTCACAATGGAGCGGATGAGCTCAGTGAAGATCCTCTCGCTGTCCTCCACTGCTGTCTGTGCAGAGCGCTGTCACACACACATCACAATCACACAGTGAGCTTCAGTGAGTCCTGACTAAAACTTCTCTTGTTCTCCAGACTCACCTTATGAGACGCCACAGCCTCTCTCAGCTGCTGAAGATCTTTCTCTCTCTGCTGGATCCTCTGCTGGAACAACATCTGCGTCTCCTTCAGCTGCTTCTGCACCACAAATCAATAACAGAGACATTATAAATGTCAGTTTATAATGTGGTCACATATCTGTCAGGGTTCTGTCACTTTGGTCTAGTTTATTCTTGGTGTTGTGCCATAGCCTTGACACACCTGTATTGCCTTGTCTTTGTGTAAGTGTACATTCTCTTGTCTGTGTGCCTTGTTTCATGTTCGAAGCGTGGTGTTCAGATTCCGGCACTCATGTCTAGTTTGGTTTCGGTTCTGTGCCGGGATTCGGACATTCATGCTCTATGTGTTTGTATTCTGTTGTGAGTGCACAAGTTAAGCATTCACTCGGTCTTGTTGTGTAAGCATGTGGTTACGAGTTTGCTTTGACCGTACGCTCTTCTGCCCGCGTGAAATGATCCCCTTGTGTTCTGCCCTGACGGATCCTATTGTCGTTCCTAGCCAAGTTGTACCTTTTCTAGTTGCTGGTCTGAAAAGTGTTTTTGTCTTTTGCTGCATTTAACTTGTGTTATTCTTGACAGATATATTTTGTCAAACAATCTGTGAATATTTTCTATTATTTTATGTTGCTTCATCAAACCCTGTTTTACAAAAGTTTGTGGTTGGAAATATATTTACATTTCATTTTACTATATTTTCTGCTAAATTCAGTGCTGTGCACAAATACGCTTAGTAGTGAAAACCCACTCCCCGCTTCTGTTCCCTTCTGCTGAAGTCTGCAGTGTGAATGATGTTTCCTGATTGTATGGATGCCAATATAAATGTAATTTTTTTAAATCAGGGTCTACTTTATAGTTCATACCTGATTCTCTGTCCTCTGCGCTGCAGCTGATACAGTGCCGTGGTTTTTGTGTTCATCCATTGTACACAGTAAACATATACACTTCTGATCAGTGCGGCAGAAAACCTCGAGGAGTTTATCATGTGTTTGGCAGATCATCTCCTGCAGTCGTCCAGTGGCTTCAGTCAGATTGTGTCTCTTTCTTTTAAAGAAACTCTCATGTTGTTCAAGGTGACTCTGACAGTAAGACTCCAGACACTCCAGACAGGAGTTGACAGCTTTGCGTTTTCTCCCATCACAGACGTCACACTGCACATCTCCAGATCCAGCATTACAGTCATCAGGAGGTTTAGTCATCTTTAGTTTCTCCACCACTTTAGCCAGCATGGTGTTTTTAGCTAAAGCAGGTCTTGGGCTGAAGGTTTGTCTGCACTGAGGGCAGCTGTAGACTCTCTTCTCATCCTCCTGATCCCAGCAGTCTGTAATACAGATCTTACAGAAACTGTGTCCACAGGAAGTGGTCACTGGATCCTTCAGGAGATCCAGACACACTAAACACTGGAACTCATCCTGAGAAATTCTGGCTTCTGTCATTTTTACTGCTTGATTACAGAGACACAAACACACAACAGCTCAACTGCACTTCAGTTTCAGTTTCTCTGAACTCAAGAGTTTCCTGTTTCCTGGTTCTGTGTTTGAGTGATGTGTGAAAAACATGTGTCTGCAAATCTGTAAAGCGGGTTCCTCACTCAAAGTGTAGTTTCTATCTGCGTTGTGTTTTCTTCTTAATAAAATAGATCCCACACGATGATGCAGTTGTGATGTGATTTACTCTTGGCATCAGACACTTATAACAAGGAGAATCTCTGGTCCGTGCCTGTCATCGTCACGACTTTCCGCGAAAGAGAGCGGGTGCCAGGAAATTACATCAGCTTTACACTCACCCTAACACAACGTAACTTACGTAATGGTGCTTCCCTAACATTTTATATGGATTATAAAAAGGGTAAAACAAAGACAATAACACGGAAATACATTTATACACACGCACCTAAAGGATTATTAGGAACACCAAATGAATACTGTGTTTGACCCCCTTTCGCCTTCAGAACTGCTTTAATTTTATGTGGCATTGATTCAACAAGGTGCTGAAAGCATTCTTTAGAAATGTTGGCCCATATTGATAGGATAGCATCTTGCAGTTGATGGAGATTTGTGGGATGCACATCCAGGGCACGAAGCTCCCGTTCCACCACATCCCAAAGATGCTCTATTGGGTTGAGATCTGGTGACTGTGGGGGCCATTTTAGTACAGTCAACTCATTGTCCTGTTCAAGAAACCAATTTGAAATGATTCCAGCTTTGTGACATGGTGCATTATCCTGCTGGAAGTAGCCATCAGAGGATGGGGACATGGTGGCCATAAAGGGATGGACATGGTCAGAAACAATGCTCAGGTAGGCCATGGCATTTAAACGATGCCCAATTGGCACTAAGAGGCCTAAAGTGTGCCAAGAAAACATCCCCACACCATTACACCACCACCACCAGCCTGCACAGTGGTAACAAGGCATGATGGATCCATGCTCTCATTCTGTTTACGCCAAATTCTGACTCTACCATCTGAATATGTCAACAGAAATCGAGACTCATCAGACCAGGCAACATTTTTCCAGTCTTCAACTGTCCAATTTTGGTGAGCTCTTGCAAATTGTCGCCTCTTTTTCCTATTTGTAGTGGAGATGAGTGGTACCCGGTGGTGTATTCTGCTGTTGTAGCCCATCCGCCTCAAGGTTGTGCGTGTTGTGGCTTCACAAATGCTTTGCTGCATACCTCGGTTGCAACGAGTGGTTATTTCAGTCAAAGTTGCTCTTCAATCAGCTTGAATCAGTCAGCCCATTCTCCTCTGACCTCTAGCATCAACAAGGCATTTTGGCCCACAGGACTGCCACATACTGGTTGTTTTTTTTTTCCTTTTCACATCATTCTTTGTAAACCCTATATGGTTTTGCGTGAAAATCCCAGTAACTGAGATTAGTAACACACACACAATAAACAAAACAAAAAAAAGTAAATACATAAACAATAGTTGAAATGGCTGAGGCTCAGGGTTGGCTAGCTAGGTATTTTAATCCAAAAGCCACACGCACACGCACGCCCCGTGAGGTGTAAACGGCAGACCACACTCCGTGCTCGAAAAACCACCACCAAAAGGCCAGAAAAGCTAGCCTCCCAACCCCAGGGTCCATCAGCCTAAAATAAACACAAAAGAAAAATTAATGAATACACTACCAACATACAGTTCTGAATGGTTAGTGATTCCAAAACATTTGCCACAAAAGGCACACTTACTTGTAGACAAAACAACAAATTACAGGGCAACAAAATGGCAACTTAATAAATTGCACAATAATCAACATGAAGACAAACCAAAAACAAAGTACAACTTAGCACACAGGCAGCCAATGATGACTGAAGGGTGAGCCCACGTTAACAACTCGGCACATTCAGCAGTAACTGGATGGATGGTTGTAGCATTAAAAACATACAACAACACAGCAGCAAAACAGCAGCGCAGTCTAAATGGATTTTATGCAGAAAACGATCAGCCCAATGTCCACATTAAGATGGAGCATCTTAGGAATCAATATCCTGCTAAAAACATCAGACATCAGTTAGTCGGCTCACTTAAGTTGAATCTTTAGTAAAAAAAAAAAGTAACTTTACGTACCAGGTGATCATCACGGAATTATATAGGTGTACGGTTGCTCACAGCAGATTACATAAACAAACCAGCTAAAAGGAAGAGCACGTAGGTTATGATTATCACAAGCTGCACAAGTCCACATTACAAACATTTACCTAGAGCCTACCTTGGGGAACAGAACAGCACGCACATCTCCACTGCGCTGCCAACCAAACATGACCAGCATTGAATGGAGGCATGCCTGCAACAAAGAAGTGGAGCTAGCAATGACACATGACCAGGTGGCAAAAACAGGCTTTAAATAGGCCAAGGACAGCAGCCGATTGGCTGCCACATCTATCACTCATGTGACAGCCACAAATAACAGGGCGGGATCTAACCTGCTCTGCCACACAAGCACTAACTGAAGGTATCATATTTGTATCTTTCTTTGAATTTTGATATTTCCTGTTTTCTATGTATAATTTCTCTTCTGTTTCTTTAATGGTTACGCCCTCTATTGGGGGGCATATTGTACAGGAAATTAGGTCCTGGAAGTTAGGAAATACCCACTGCGCCACATGGACTAGCGGCTGTCCTTGTTTGAAGCAATTATGGCACAACTTAAGACATGATCCAGGCTGTAATATCTAAAAATCTTGTGTGGTAAGGCCCAGCTTAGGAGTATTGCAGAACTCTGGAAGGGAACTCCTGGAACTCCTCCAGCCCAAGGACCTATGTACATAAGCTTTCAAGGCTCGGACGGGGCACAGTAAATGTAGCTTCTCTTGATCAGCCGACACTTGGTTGAGGATGGGTTCGAAGGGTGCCAGGAATAACCCTTTAGGAACCACTGCCAGGACCAAAACAGGGAACCTGGCTTGAACGACAGGCCTCAATCTCCGAGCACCACAAAGGAAACGAACGATTAGTTGGTGCCTACCCATAGGACCCTCACTTAAAGGCATGTGCTATGACGTCTGAAAACCAAACTCGGTCCGGCCAGTACGGGGCTACTAGAAGCAGACTGACCCTGTGCCGATGGACCCTTTCTAGAACTCAAGGGGAGCAGAGCGATGAAGGGAAATTTATACAGACGTTGCCTCAGCCATGTCTGTACCATGGCATCCAGCCCTAGAAAAGCTGAGGGAAAACCAAAGCGAACACTTCCACCTGGCCGAACTCCCTCCAGATCAGCTCCACCTGCCTCGACAGGATGTCTGCCCCCATTTTTTCATCCCTGGGAATGAACATTGCTTTGAGTGAAAGCAACTTGCCCTTTCCACACAAAAACATGATGCGCCAGTCTGCACAAAGGGTGCAATCCCAGGCCACCCTGCCAATTTATATAGGAGATCACCGACATTTTGTCTGTTCGCACTAGAACATGATGGCCTCTAAGGTACAAAACAAAATGTCTAAGAGCTAGAAACACTGCCAACATCTCCCTGTCAGCAGCCCCTCAAGATCTGGAATGACAGCGGAGAATTAACTGTTTGAGTCGTTTCGCCTCCTGCAACAGAATCAACGGCGTTGCCGAAGAGGCCAGAAGACGAGAGTGAGGCATTGAGGAGAAAGGCCCTGTTGTTCTCCCCTTAACCCTATTGGTTCAGCCACAAATGTCTCTCCGTGGCTACTAATGCTGGCATGGGGCAGCCCCAGAGACTTAAGGGATGGCGCAGCATCTCTTTAACCCGCAGCATCACCCCATAGCTGTTCTTATTTGAGCCCAAGATGGAGTAATAGACTTGTACATTCTGGCTCGAAAGTCTGACAAGAACGTCTTTTTCCGAAATCTCTACATCTCAGTTTATATAGGAGTGGAGCTGGCTGTTGAATGCCGAGAAAGGGCCAAAGAGGTCTAAACATCCTCAGCCAGCTCTATTTCCGATCCCCATGATTCCAAACCATGGCCTGTTTTATCGGGAGTGGAGCATCCTGAGAGGAAAAAAAAACAATGTGACATACAACACCAAATGAGACACACAGGATACATAGAACACTTGCTGAAGACCAGAAGCTGACACTGTTATGAGCCGGCATCCTGTAATATTCCTCTGATCTCTTATTCATGAAGACAGTCAAGTAAAGTCAAAATTTATTTCTATAAGATGTTTTTTTCCTGTAATATTCCTCTGATCTCTTATTCATGAAGACAAAGTCAAGTAAAGTAAAAATGTATTTCTTTAAGATGTTTAAAAGCGACAAAGTTGCAACAAAGTGCTGTACAATAAAACATTCTGCATATAAAAATCATAAAAAGGCATAAATGGTTAAACTTGACTTAAATCAAAGAAAATAAAGCATAACACAAATGTATGGTTGAATTCACACACACGCACACACAGGTTTCTATTGAGAATCATTAGATCCTTTATTTACATGTGAATTGATCAACAATCTGTGTGATTGATTCATTCTCTTGAATATGTGTCTTGATTCTCTTGAATTTAATATGCTGTTCCTGTTTTTCTTTCATTGTTGCTTCTAACTTCCGCATCTTTGTCTTTTAATATTAACTTTGAATGTCTAAAATCCAGTTTTAGTTGAAGGTCTTGAATTGGCTCGTATCATCCAGACATGTTTGCAGTGAGTCTCATTATGTCTCATATTTCCTCTCTCTTCTCTGCAGGGGTGCAACTTCCCAGTGTCTGAGGGGTATGCAGCAACAGTTGCCAGCCCAGTGTCAACCAAGAAAAGAACCAATGGGCCGCTGATCTACGTGTTTAGTGAAAATATCACCCAAAAAAAAAAAACTCTGACTTTTTGAGCAATGCATTGCACCGGCACTAACCCAGTGCTGCTAATTCACCAAAACAAAACAAAATGAATGGGCAGCCAATGTACAAGTTTTATGGACCGTTAAGACAAATACAAAAAATAGCCTATTAGATATATCGGCTGGAATCTCCTAGCCTAGATGCGTGGGAGTCACACTTTGAATCCTTCTTACCATCCACTTATTTAGCTGCTGGCGCATCAATTGACATGCCATCTCCTTTTACCTCTTTCCTCTTTCATTTTCTATTTTTAGCCCCGACAGCTTTTTTGCTTTATCCATCTTTTCGCTCGTACCTGCTTGCTCAGCGCTATTATCAATAGCGATATTACAGTATTTGATTAATCATAAAGCTTAAAGCATTATGGGTTGAATCTCTCTAGAGTTTGTTCTGATCAATCAACACAGTTTCACTGATGATCCAGAATATACCCTAAACCCAGGATAGAGTGGTTGAGTGAATGTGGTCTGGACTGTGTGTATGAGGCTCGTTGTGTCAGAGACAATGTAGAAGGACAGATTTCCTGCACTGTGATCCACATACACTCCTATTTTCCTGTCACACACACACTCTCCTGTTCTCCTGTTACATACACACTCTGCTGTTCTCCTGCTGATGGGTTTTTCAGGGAGTTTAGTCTCTGTGTTATTGTGTCTGAATGAGTAATCAGAGGGGGTGCAGTTCAAACTCCAGGACTGATCATTACCTCCAAACACACACTTATTACCCTCTCCCTTCCTTCTGATGCTCTTATATGACACTGATATACACACATACCCACTCCACTCAATCTCCCAGTAACAGCGTCCCCACACACTCTCTCTACACAACACCTGAGGACACACATCAAATCTGTCTGGATGATCAGGATACGGCTGGACCGTGAGAGTGTCAGTAAATTTAATCACTCTGTTCTTCACAGACAGACGGAGGTTTTTATGTGCTGTGTTCTGATCCGGATTGAGATGAAGGGAATCTGATGGAGAGAAAACACAACAGATTTAGGAGTTATGAATCTGATCTTTTAACCCTCTTGGCTTCTTCGGTCAAAAATGACCGAAAACTGTTATCATACACAGATAAACTGGCTAGACTGTAACAGCAAATTTGTAGAATATGCGAAATAAAATCAACAAATGAAAAAATCTTGCTCAAATGCACACACATACACACACGCATGCACACACAGAGAGAGAGAAAGAGAGAAAATTAACTTAATTAGCATTATTTTATGTTTATTTCTGTTCGATCATAATTGCTGTTCCCTTATGAAGTTTTATTACTTATTGAATAAAAAAATAATAAAAAATATCAATTTATTGCAAAATGTCTGTAAAGTGTTCCCTTTCATAGTCACTCCGAGTTACGTCGGAATGACGGAGAATGGGGGTTTCGCATAGAAAGCCAATTCTCTTCGAGTATTTAATAACGAGCCAATGGCATGAAAATGCCTTGTGTTGGTGTGACGGCGGTACCCAGCGAGATTCTGCATTGCCTGCGATCTGAGCAGTGGTCTGCCAGACTTTGCGCTTCTCCCTGGTCGCCTCAGTGCTGAAAGAGTGAATTTCCTCCTCTCTCTGCTGCACGTGGCACGTCTTTTTAAAGATGGTTCGCCCGTGTTCTTCTGGGTGCGGTCGATTCCTGTCGTCCTCTGATGGATCGCTGCTTTGTGTGTCTGGGCATTCAGCATGCAGCAGCAGCGTTCGTGGATGAGTCATGTTCATTCTGTGGGAATATGACCATCGCAACACTTAGATCTAGACTCAATGATCTGACAAAAGTGAGAGTCCCCGTGTCCACTACTCGTTCTGCTTCTTCTTCTAGAGGAAGCTCTTCGACTCGCGGACAGGGTGAGCTGACGGTGACAGTGTGGAATAAACCCCCGACGCTGGTTCCTGGTTCCCCGACAGTGGAACCCTCCGCCCTGCCCTGATCACTCACGGATGGATAATTGGTTTTTGGACAAGGCTGCCGCCTCACGGCCACAGTCGACCCCAATTCCTTTTTTCCCCGAGCTGCATGGGGAACTGACGAGGACTTGGAAGGCTCCTTTGACCTCCCAAGAGCGTTCGTCAGTTTCCCCCGCCTTTCCTCCCCTCGACGGCGTGGCTGCCCGTGGGTACGCTGGGATTCCCCCGGTGGAGCGAACTGTTGCGATGCAACTGTGAGCGCATCCTCTCGGGGTACTCTCGGGTACTCCAAAGCACCCTTCCAAAGCCTGTAGATTCTCGTCGTCTATGGCGGCGCGATCCTATAGAGTGGCGGGACAGGCGGCCTCCGCCCTGCATGCTATGAGCACCTTGCAGGTGCTTCAAGCAAAGCTGCTCAGGGATAAGCACGAGGGGGGGACTGACAAAGAGGCTTTTAATGAACTGCGAGCTTCCACCGACCTCGCTCTCCGGACTTTCGTCGCCGCTCGCTCCCTTGGTCAGGTGATGGCCACCAGTGTGGTCCAGGAGCGTCATCTGTGGCTCAACCTGGCAGATGTGTGGGACACCGAGCGGACTCGTCTGCTCAAAGCCCCCCTCTCCCAGGTTGGCCTCTTGGCGGCGTGGTTGAAGATTTTGCCCAGCAGTTTTCGACTGCTCAGAATCAGACGGAGGCGATAAAACACATCCTGCCCCGACGGCCAGCTGCTGCCTCCACCCAGCCGTCGGTTCAGCCACCCCCGCCTGCTCGCCGCCTGCGGCTCCCCTCCCTCCCGCACGGCCCCAGCAGCAACCTCCATCCGGGTCGCGTCGTGGAGGAGGCCGCAGGAGAGCGTCACAGCCCCCTCAGGCCCCGCTAAACGCCATGCGAAGCGGCGTTCCTGAGACGGGCTGCTCAGTGATGGAGTCAAGTTTTTCCCAGGAGGTGGTAGCAGGCCCCCTCCTTTCCCCCGGTTGAGGTCCGGGGGAGAATCTTTTGTTCTCAGCTCCCCGCTGCTCACCCATGGGTGGGCAGCACCCTGAGTTGGTTAAAGAAAGACTTGACACTGTCACTGAGCACACAGACTGGAGTGAGTGTGCTTGACGCCCCCGTGCGTCGCCCCACTCATTCCCCTCTGTCTGTCTCTGAGGGTGCGGAGGGGAGCTTGTGTCGTCCCTCGACTACGCCACTCCCCTCCCCCTCTATCGCCAGACCCCCGGCAGAACAGACCCCCGTGGAACGCTGGTCGTTCCCTGGTCTCTTCTGTCGAGGAATGGTGCTCGACTGTGCACCCGCACGGGGTAACTCCCGTGCGCATGCCGGTCTCCCCGCCTCGCTTGCCGGTCTCCCCGGCCGGATGCATTTTCGAATGCGTCCGGCCTCAGGATTGGTTTGCAGCGATAGACCTGAATGATGCGTACTTTCATGTCTCCATCTTGCCTCGACACAGACCGTTTCTTCGGTTTGCTTTCGAGGGCCAGGCATATCAGTACACGGTTCTCCCATTCGGGTTAGCTCTGTCACCTCGCGTCTTTACGAAGATCGTCGAGGCAGCCCTTGTTCCCCTTATGTTGCAGCTCGCACGCCACCTCCTGTTATGGAGTCAGAAGCACCTGAGGTCCCTTCGTGCCGTTAACATTCTAGGAGACCGGAACCTGGCAGCCGACGAGCTGTCACGGGTCCGTCCAATCTCCGGCGAATGGCGACTCCATCCCCAGACGGTCCAGCTGATCTGGGACCAGTTCGGGGAGGCACAGATAGACCTGTTCGCCTCCCGGGACTCATCCCACTGCGCCCTGTTTTATTCCCTGTCCGAGGGCACGCTCGGCACAGATGCACTGGCGCACAGCTGGCCGCGGGGCCCACGCAAGTATGCGTTTCCCCCAGTGAGCCTTGTTGGTAGCCCCTTATTGGCCCACCAAGATGTGGTTCTCCGAACTGATGCTCCTCGCGACAGCACCTCCTTGGCCTATTCCTCTGAGGAAAGACCTACTCTCTCAGAGACGGGGCACCCTGTGGCACCCTCGTCCCGAGCTCTGGAGGCTACACGTGTGGCTCCTGGACGGGACGAAGCAGGTTTGAGTTCGGTGCCACCTGCGGTGGTAGCAACCATCACTTCCGCCAGAGCGTCGTCCACTAGACACCTCTACGCGTTGAAGTGGAACCTCTTCGTCAACTGGTGCTCTTCCCGTGGAGAAGACCCCTGGAGATGTCCGATCGGTGTCGTGCTTTCCTTCTTGCAAGAAGGGTTGGAGCGTAGGCTGTCGCCCTCCACCCTTAAGGTTTACGTCGCGGCCATTGCCGCGTCTCATGAAGCAGTGGAAGGTAAGTCTTTGGGAAAGCACAACCTGATCATCAGTTTCCTGAGGGGAGCGAGGAGGCTACATCCGCCTCGTCCTCCCCTCGTGCCCTCTTGGGACCTCTCAGTAGTTTTAAGTGCTCTGCAGAGGCCTCCCTTTGAGCCTTTGCAATCGGTAGAGATAAAGTTTCTGTCCATGAAGACAGCACTCCTGGTTGCATTGGCCTCCATCAAGAGGGTAGGGGACCTGCACGCATTCTCCGTTGACGAGGCGTGCCTGGAATTCGGGCCGGCTTACTCTCACTTGATTTTGAGACCCCGGCCTGGATATGTGCCCAAGGTTCCTACCCCTCCCTTCCGGGACCAGGTGGTGAACCTGCAAGCGCTGCCCCTGGAGGAGGCAGACCCAGCCTTGGCACTGCTCTGTCCGGTACGTGCGCTCCGTGCCTACGTTGACAGAACGCAGTGTTTCAGGACCTCAGACCAGCTCGTGTCTGTCATGGGGGGAGCCAGAAGGGAAGGGCTCTCTCAAAGCAACGGCTGTCTCACTGGATAGTGGACGCCATCGCTTTGGCTTACCAACAGCAAGGTCGACCGTGCCCCCTTGGTGTGATGGCCCACTCCACTCGGAGTGTGGCTTCCTCTTGGGCTTTAGCGCATGGCGCCTCGCTAACAGACATTTGCAGAGCTGCAGGCTGTGCGACACCGAACACGTTCGCAAGATTCTATAATCTTCGCTTGCTCGCCATTCCACTCCTCGGACTGGATAAGTGCGATATTCCTCAGTTGAGTCTTCCGTTGAAGCCCTGAGTCCTCCAGCACTTCTGATGCTGGCACCACTGCATTGCTCTGGATGCCGGCTAGGTGCCTCCGTGTGTACGGTTCCCTCTGGTAACTATCACATGTGTATTCTCCACTGTAAGCCTCTCTGAGCATGTCTCTCCCTTGGCAAGCCATCTGCCATTCCTGGAGTTAAGCTTCTAGCCACCCTTAGGTTGGTACTCCAGTGTTTTCCCATATGAAGTCCCCATATGTTTATTCTTAAGTCCTCCCTATGGTAGGCATACTGCGGCATATTACTCCCGGGATATGCTTCCCAGTGTACCTTGGTATTCCTATGTTAAAGTAGGACTCCTGGTTATAAGCTAAGTTGTTAGGAGTCCAGACTTTCGCAGGGCACTGGAAGACAGCTGTGAAGGTGGCGTGATGGCACGGACCCCCATTCTCCGTCATTCCGACGTAACTCGGAGTGACTACGAAAGGGAACGTCTCGGTTACGGATGTAACCCTCGTTCCCTGAGTAGGGAACGGAGACGTTACGTCTCCCTGCCACTTCTGCTGTACCGCTGGGTAGACGCCTGAGTTCAGTCTCGGCTCCTCAGCGAAGACATACTGCGGTTGCGTTCACTTCCTCCTTTTATACCCACGGGGTGGGGCGGAGTTATGCTATGCAAATTCCGCAGACCCAAGGCATTTTCATGCCATTGGCTCGTTTTTAAATACTCGAAGAGGATTGGCTTTCTATGCGAAACCCCCCATTCTCCGTCATTCCGACGTAACGTCTCCGTTCCCTACTCAGGGAACGAGGGTTACACCCGTAACTGAGACGTTTTGAATTATCACTAACCATAACTTATTTTGTTCAATTATTTGAATGATCAAATACTGAGTAACAAAAATGTTTGCATTGTGTTCGATTTCTAACCAAATGCTATAGTTTGATTGTAATCATAATGCAAAACCTGATACTTATCTACAATTTTTTGTTAAAAAAATTAATTAGCTGTATTTTAGAATATCGAAATTTATATCTAAATTTAAAAAAGACGAATAAGATAGAGAAATCATGTCTAAAAAACAACAACAGGAATCAAAAAGCCTTCCTATGTATTTATATAGGAAGCTATAGGCTATGGAATGCCAAAGCTGACCTAATTAAAAATAAATTAATACATAAATAAATGAACGAAGAAATGTAAAAAAGTGCAAATAAATGATTATTTATACTTTTATTTCCATATTTTTGTATAATTGTATTTTTTCACAAATTTATTTATTTATACATTTATTCATTTATTTATTTCAACTTTTATTTATTTACACATTTATTTCAGTATTTATGTTTTTCATGTCTACATTTCTTTATTTTCACATTTATTTATTCCTATATTTATCTATTTCCACATTTCATCATTTCCACATTTATTTATTCCAACATTTCTTTCTCCGTATGCTAATGAGGGGGCCGTGTTTTAACTCAGACATCAGCAATCGAGCTCAGAGTGGCAGTTCTGAACCTTTGAGGCCACAGTGACACCTTGTGGTGTGTGACCAAATGAACCGCAAGAGCTGTGCAGGCAATATCACATTTTAAGTCAGGCATTTCACCCTAACTGTATGTAGGGTAAACTATATGGTTAACACACATAGCACACATGTGTGATAGCAGATACTTGGACATGAAAGCACATGAAAGTATCCACTATTAATAACAATGTAGGCCTAAACTGGTGGATAGGGCTGATAGCTTGCATTTATTGTCGAGACTCGCACACCAGCATACAGTTCACTGACTCCCACGCAAGCATATTGATCAATGAGTTTGAAACACGACTCAATACGCGGTTTACATCCGCGTTTCCTAATTTCGTATGCATAACAGATGACAATTTAAATGTTTAAAACGCAACCCATATTTAGATGCTGCTCTTAGATACTGATTAATCACAAGACATACATTTTGAATTATTCTAAAATCAAACGCAGCCAGCCACGCTTCTCGCGCCATGCATTCTGTATTAAGATTTTGACTTTTAATGACTTTTGTTAATTTGATTTTACTGATAACAGCCATAGTGCCTTATTATTATTATAACTGAGTAGTTTATCGATTAATATTAAGAACTTGACATATATGATGATGTACGGCCTAGCCTACCTATTTAATAAGGTTTGGGTAGATATAAAATCAATTTACAGGGTGAAATATCACCACGACCGCGGGCACGACCGGTGCTGTTTGAATGGATGATGCTTCTGTGCTCCAATGCATGGCGTGAGATGCGTGGCTCACTGCGTTTAAACGAGCCACTTTTTTAAGAATAATTCAAAATTGATGACTTGTGATTAATCAATATATATCTAAGAGCAGCATCTAATATGGGTTGCGTTTTAAGCATTTGAATTGTCACCTGTTATGCATACGAAATTAGGAAACGCGAATGTAACCGCGGACGATCAACTCATTGATCAATATGCTTGCGTGGGAGTCAGTGAAATGTGCGCTGGTTTCTCTCCATGTTTTGCGCTGGTGTGCGAGTCTCATCGTCAATAATCACAAGCCAAAAGCAAGCTATCAGCTATCATATTTATGTGCGCTATGTGTGTTAACCCTATATAGCCCAGTTATACAGTTAGGGTGATATACACAACTTAAAATGTGAAATTGCCCACACAGCTCTTGCGTTTCGTTTGGTCACATTCCACAAGGTGTTACTGTGGCCTCAAAGCTTCAGCACTGCCACTCTGAGATCGATTGCTCATGTCTGAGTTAAAACACGCCCCCCTCATTAGTATATGGACAAAGAAATGTTGGAATAAATAAATGTGGAAATAAAGAAATAAAGAAATAAATTAATGTGGAAATAAATAAATGTGAAAATAAATAAATGTAGACATAAAAACATAAATACATAAATTAATGTAGAAATAAATAAAAGTGGAAATAAATAAATGTAGAAATAAATAAATAAATGTGTAAAAAAAAATACAATTATACATAAATAAGGAAATAAAAGTATTACTCATTTATTTGTACTTTTTTACATTTTTTTATATATTTATTTCTGTATTTATTTATGTATTTTTGCTTTTTTACATTTCTTCGTATATTTATTTATGCATTTATTTATTTTTAACTTAGTCAGCTTTGGCATTCCATAATAGGCAGCCTACAGGCTGTACAGGACATTGCACACATGTAACTATTTTTTAAAGCCACAAGGTGGCGCTCTTCTACTTGAACATTTTTTTTAAGCTGGCATTCTATTTTTATGTGAATTGTTGCATTTATTGAAAAAAAATTAATTAAAAAAATATAAATTAAATATATATATATATTAATTCTAATGGAGAAATAGCTCTTAAAAATTATATAATTAATGCAAAGTATCATAAACATTTCTGAAAATTCTAAATAATAATCAGAAAATATTATAGAACAAAAATATATTTGAACGGTTATCCTGGGAAAAAGTAAAGTTAAATTTTAAGGCTTCGTCCGTTTTTGACCGGGAGGAAGCTACGTGTAATCCATTTACAAAGAAGCCCAGAGGGATGTACACATCAATGGATAGAGCTCATCGAGACCTTTATTTTGATATAAAGAACTCATATTCGCCACTTACGCCCCTCTGGCTCCAAGCCCTCGACATTATTTGTGTAATGTAAAAATTATTTGTTGTGCTTGTTTAACAATTAAAATTAGTTAAAAACCACACAATAACCTAATATTTTGTCTTTATCTAATTTTATTGTGTTAAATAAACACAATAATTTTATTGTCCACTTAAATATGTAAACCTGAATAATTAGTGTTAAATAAAGTTAAACTGGGCAGTGTATTTTTAGTTCCCAGCATGCTTTGCATAGATCTTGATCAGGAGGGTAAATGTTGAAACTATTTTATGTGTTTTTGAGGGGAAATGCCTGTTAGTGTTTAATGTTCAGTTATGTTTGACATACAGTAGTTTCACTTTCTACCGGAAGAACATGGACACATTCAGTGAGTTTTCTGCTTGTTTTCTTAGTAACTTACATTGTAGGAAATCGTTCCTGGTCTTGGGCACAATGTTGGTGAGAGTGACTGTGGAAATCATGAAGAGTGGGATTTTTCTTATTTTCAAGAGAAAATGATTCTTGCATCTGTTCCTAAGACATTTCTAATATGATCTTCTATATGATATGAAATGATGGAGAATCATTTCTGAGAGCAGAATCTCCAGGACTTTACCTCTGTTAGAGATCTTCTTGATGTCCTCTTTGCAGAAATACTTCAGTGTGTTTGTCAGCTTACAAATAGATTGTCTAATTCCATCAAAAGAGGAGAGAGGACTGAAGGGATTGTCATTGACGTCTGTAGATTCAGGAGGAGCTGAGAGAGACTGGAAACTCTACAGAAAACAGAAATCAAAGCTCATCACCTCCACACTTTATCAATAACCTGCACTACTGTCAGATTTGTGCCGCTCTTGTTGATCTTTAGTAACTCCTCAATCCAGCCCTTCTCATATTCATTGTATGACATTAGAGCTACAAATTACTGTATATCGTTTGCCATTTACACTATATGTATACTTTCTAGTAAATCATTTGGATGATAAACCATCTACGGAAGCCCTGAACCGCAAAGTGAAAAAAAGGAAAAGGAAAAAAAAAAAGAAAACATCTCGTTATAACGACATATTATGTAGTTTTAACGACTAAGTAAGTCGTTAATACGACATAAATATCTTGTTATTTCGACATAAATATCTTGTTATTTCGACATAATAAGGGCTGCATTCTAATATGCATTAAGTTATATTTAGCGTTCTTATAATGACTTTCTATGGGAGGACATTGCTTAATGTCAAATGAAACGCTTTGCGTTCAAATTCTGGACTTATCTGGTTTTGTAGTATACTTTATTATGAGTTTTAGAATCACAATAATAATAAGAAATGCACGTACAATTATCCGTGAGCTTGATAAATGTTGCAGATGTTTTAGGCCAGGTATCCTACTAGTATCCACAAACAAATTGCGTTCAATTATGTGTGCAAAATTCAGAATTCAACAAATGCACTGCAACAACAAAAATAGACAACAAAAACAAAAATCATAAAAATAATAATCATTATTTTTTAAATAATTATTATTCATTATTATTATTAAATAATAATATTCTGTTTTAATATTATTATTTAATAATGATATAATAATAATAATATAATATATGTGGCAATAATGCACCTTTGCCAAATGCAAGCAAACCACTTGTATACAGACGACCTATGCGCGCGACTGCATAAGACTACAGAAAGAATACAAAAAGCCCCATTTCCATTTCCAGGCGGTGGAGTAATAACGGACATCACAGAACATACAATACAAGTCAATGGAGTTGGACAAAAACTACGATAAAACCTGTTGGAAGGCATCTTTTGCAGTGATTTTTGTGAGAGCATATCAGTGAACAACCCAGACCACTCAGTGAGTTTCACATCTTTGTAAACTAAAGTTTTATGCGTTTTTATGAATGATTGTTCCAGTGCACCTATGCAACCATTGTAGTCTAGAGGTGGGGGGGTGCTAACACAGAATCCAAAAATTCTTGTGACAGCAGCATTAGTCTAAAATACAATCCTAACCAATCTATTTCATCAGAAACGATCTTAAAACAGGGCTTTAATTGTAAAATACCGAACTTGCACAGAAGCGATGTCAAGGGGGTCTCTTGATTAGTTCACGTATCGCGTCTTTTGCGTGCTCGAGGTCGTTATTTCAAATAGGTGATTAGGCGCACGGGAAGCGCGGTAATTATGCGCTCGTGGGAGGCGCGCTCATAAAGTTTTCAGTATGGGAGTACACCCAAACACTTGGGTGTTTTTTCTCTTCTCTGTAAATAAATCTTTTAGCAGAGCTTCAGCGAGCGTTTTTCTGTGGTGGAAATACATTGGCTACTAAAACTATAGCAATGACAGCAATGGGCAAATCGGTCCGAATTTTACTATTAATAATAAAAGATAAGCTACTGTGCATTATATGTCAGGAATGTATCTTTATTGACTCATTCTTTTTATAGAGATGATTAAATGCTGAAATAAAAGGTTTATATTTTTATAAAATATTTTTTTGTGTTAACCTTTTTTAAGTTTAGTAGGTAAGATTAAAGACACTCCTTTAAAACAAATCTTTAATGTTATTAACTTCGTGAATTCATTTCATTGTGTATTAGGCTTTTTGAACAAGATTCTGTGTATGTGATCATTTTGGTCACTATATTCATGACATGAAAATAATTTACATAATGATCAACTTTATGTGTTTTTACAGTAGTCTATAATATGCTAAGTACAATTTTCTATTTTCTAAATAATCTCTGATTCTGACATAGGGCTACAAAAGCTATTTTAGGTCTATAACAGTTTGGATAGTTGTTAACCTGTTAACCTTCAGCTCCACAAGGGGGCTCACAGCTGAAAATGACATGCCTGGATAACAATAAATACAGCTCCTGAGAACAGTGTACCACAGGCACAATTAAGGTATCTTTGGAAAGAAGACAGTTGGGACTCTACTAACAATCAATCAGATTTGATAATGCTCAAACAGAAAAAAAGTTATAAAAGTTAAAAGTGCCTCAAAAATAATGTGCGCCACAAAAATGTTTTAGTATTTCATGTACAAATATATAAAAATAGACCTGGAGTAATTCAGATAGATAAAGGATTGAAAGCCACAAGTCTCATCAGTTTATATTTCAAATTAGAGGAAGATATAATGAACAATGGGGTTCCTGCAAACTTTTTTCCAAGACTATGTCAGTTCCCTTTCTCCCTCCCCCTGCCTGAGGCACATCCCCAGAAATAACATGCCCAAACTAAAATATTTGCAGTTGCTCAACTATTTGCTCTACATGCACAATTTAGACATGTTTAAAAAGAAGACACTTTAGAGTGTATTAACCAACTGTTAAAGTTGAAAAAACTTACACAGACAAAAAGTTATAGAATTTAAAGTGTCTTGAAGATAATTTATACTGCATGTAATATTTTACAATTTCATGTAAAAATAAATGAAAACAAACCTGTAGGAATCCAGTTAGGTAATTGATTGAAAGACATAAGTCTCATCAGTTTATATTTCAAATTTGAGGAAGATATTATGAAAAATGAGATTCCTACAATATTTTTTCCAAGACTATGTCCAGGTACCAAGAAACCTCCTTGGATACATCAAAAAGCAACCTAATGACCAAATGTTATGCAGGGCACTGCAAGCTATTTCAGTCAATTCATAAAATAATGCAATTATAAAATAATACACACAACCATTAGACTTTATGCAAGTGATTTATTTGCACAACAGAACAAAAAAATATATGTAAAATACATAAGTAAAATATTATGAAATATAAAAAATAAATAACTGAGGTTCTTTGCCATAGAAAATACAAGTGATATAAATACTGTACTTTGTTGGCTTGGCCTTCATATATTGCTTTAGTCCATTCCTAGCTTTTGATGCCACCGTCCTCTTGTCAATTGCAATGTTCTGAAAAGTATGGAAAAAGTGAAGAATAGTGAAGAAACTGAGAGCTTGCATCTCTGGCTGGTGCTTGGATGCCATTCTTCATCTGAAGATTCAACTTGATGACTGTTGCATGGGAAAGAATGGAAAGATAATTAGCACTGCATGTCAAGTAAATAATTCTGTTTAGTTTCTATATAGCTGGCCATTCATTCAACAATCAAACTGATGGGCAGTCGTTTACACAGCATTCGTACTAAAGCTCATCCATTCAATCAACAATCAATGGCCGGTGATGGCCAGTGATATAGACAGCATTCATATGGATGACCAGACAAAGAACCAACAATCACACTGATGGCCGGCCATCAGACAGGAATGTGCCATTTTGAAAGCATACAACTCCTTCCTATATAGCACATATTTTCTGCAATTCTTCCCACTAATTTCTGCAAAACAAACAAACAAAACATATATATATATATATATATATACATACATACAACATATACATTTACAGTACAACATACATCATATTTACAGTACAAATATTTGCATTTGTACTATAAATATTATGTATATTAGACTGTAAAAATATACAGTATGTGTGCTAGGAAAAAATGTATATTGCACAGGTGTCCAGCCCCTCCATCCTTCAGATAGCACACCACATGTGCCAGAAAAAAACGGCAAACAACTGCATAACCGTCCAACGCATATAAATACATATATACAAATAAATAAATGCATATAAAGTAGCATAATCTTTTCAGACACAACTTTACACAATGCATTTTCCGTATGAAACAACTGGAAACCAAACACACTCTCTCTCTCTAACTCTTACCCACCCACACACACACACACACACACATACACACATACGTATAATGTGTGCATGTTACATAAATTATGTATAAAGCAACTCACCGAAAATTGGATAATCTTTTCCGCCCTCAAGCATAATTATCACCGTCGTCACGATCTTCATCACTCATCTTCTCATCAATGTCGACATAATCCATCTTCGAGTGATCTCGAATAACTACTTCAGCAGAAAAATACTTCTTTTGACAAATCATTTTTTGACAGTCTGCATGTCTGCACGAACAGATGTTTGTTGACTAGCTACCTCTTAGCTTGTTATCTTAGCTCTTAGCTATAGCAGGCCTGTCAAAACATGACATCGGTGGGTGTGGCTGTGGCTCTGCAGAGCCTGAGTTTAGCTCCTCTACCGGACGGAGAGCAAATAAAAACATATGTTCGTGTGAGAAATTCAAACTTCCCGGGCATCGTTGGAATCATGCACTGGTTGGCTACATGTTTTATCAGTCATATCATGTCGTTTCTTTTATTGGCTTTCGTTGTAAAGACAGAATGGTATGATGTGCATATCATGACGTCAAAAAAACGGACTGTAGTGTTTGCATATTTTGAACTAGATATCGCTTATCTTTGTATTTGTGTGTGTGTGCGCGGTCGTAATTTGTTCATTACACTCTAAGCAACACACCCATATAAGGGTCTGCTACCGGGAGTCTGTTTTCTATGGACTATTTTATTGCATAACAAAACCGCATGATATTCACCCTGAAGAAACGCGATGTAAACAAAGGAATAACCATGGATATTACAACATTATTTTTTCTTTGGACAAAAAATGCTCTATGGGATGTTATTCAGTGGACCCTCAGCTTTCCATTCAATCTGGAATTTTTAACAGTGGATGCGTGTCTGGCTCGTTATTACAAAATAATGGTGAGTACTCCGTTTTTGTTTACGTGCGTTTTTATGTGTACTGCTTACCTAAATGCAAGAAATACATTTGTTATAAGCTTTCCATCGAAAAACAGTGCACTGACATCGATGCCCGAGGCTTAGACCTTTAAAATTATATATAGTTTGCCAAGATTAATGATCTTCTTTCATGTTAAATCCATTCATAAACATTAAACTAGTGGGGGGGGGGGGGAGGGCTTCAGAGCGCCGTCGGTTGCCCGAAGGTTAACTGGTTAATATGAGAGCTGTTCAAAATTATTTAAGAGATAAGTATTGTGTTACTAAATAAGTATCTCTCTGACCCTTTTACTTAAAAACTCCATTTCGTGACAAAGTATAGTTTAACAAGTCATAACTAAAAGTGTGCCATGCATATAATTCAAGGCAATTACCAATGCGCTAATGGTTACATCCTCCCTTTAAAGTTAGATTAATCTAGCAAAATAACTGGATGGAACTTGCAAGGATGATGGGGCTTTGAATGACCCCCACGGTTGAAACACAAGACCTCAAGTGAATGGTCAAACAACTATGAAACTGCACATCCATCAGATTTGAAGATCACCTGAAGCAACTTTGGTGAACATTATTTAAAATTGGTACCATCAATTCCACCATGATGTTGTCACAGTCTCCGTCTGCACCTTCCTGTCTGCGTCTTCTTCACTACACTTCCCAGGATCCTCTTATCTCCTCACCTGAACTCACTCCCTCATCAACCACCTGTACATCGTCTTCATCATCTGTGTCACCTCATTATGTTTGATTCCTCCTTGTATTTAGTTCCCTCTGTTTCATTCAGTTATTGTCGGTCGTTGTAGATGTTACCCTGAGTGTTCCTGCCTGTCTTTTGTACCTGTACCTGTTTTTGAGTGATTAAGTGAAGTAATTGAATTGGAGCTTTTGCCTCTTTTCGGTCTTCTTCTTCTGCCTACACTCCTCTACAAACCGTGACAGAACGACTGACCATATCAAAATGGACTCTTTTCAGCGGTCCAACTACTCTGTTTAGAGCAAGGGGACCGTTCCTTAGAGGAACATTTGGCGAATTTCCTCCACCTAGCTCCAGCTACAACCTTCCTGGACGACAGCCTCTGCAGCTTCCTGTATGCTGGCCTCAACACCGCCACCAGAGTGCAGTTGTCCGGGGAGGGCCCTCAGTGGAGCTTCGCGGCCTATGTGGAGTGGGTGCTGGTGTCCTGTGGATCTTCCTTCACCGTGGATGACGTCACCAGCCCCACTCCAACGCCCGAGCCCTCATCACCGCTGGTTCCGTCCAGCCCTGTCGTGCCAGAGACCGTCCAGCCAGCGCCGGAGTCTCATCCCGCCGAGACAGCCCAGCCAGAGTCTCGTCCAGCCGGAGACCACCGTCCAGCCCGAGACCACCATCCAGCCCGAGACCACCGTCCAGCCCGAGCCCACCGTCCAGCCCGAGACCACCGTCCAGCCCGAGACCAAGACCAGGATCCCACCCAGCCTCCCTCTCCCACCTCCTCTCATCTGTTGCCTGTCAGCCCTTCTGCCTTCCAGCCATCCTGATTCAGCCTGGTCGGTGGATCCCCGGTCTTTGCCTCCCACCTCCTCTACTTGGACACTTCTTTGGCCCCTCGTCCCATCTGCTCCCCCTTGGCTCCTTCCTCTCTCAGCTCCACCATGGCCCCTCAGGTCCACCAGTTCCGCCAGGCTCCCTCGTCCCCCCGGATTCACTTTGGTCCCTCATCGTCCTTCCCTCACCTCTGGACTTCCATCCTCCGGCTTCGCCTCGTCCTTCCACCCCCCCGGTTCCGTTGGACTCCTCACTCCCTGCAGTGCCCCATTGGTCCTCACTCCCTCTGTCCTCACCGTGTCCCTGTCGTCACTTCTGTCACCTGAGCCTTCGGTATCACCATGTTCCCTCAGTCCCTCATCATCACCCCGTCTTGTCGGCCCTACGGCTTCACCCCGGTCTCCTTTCCCATCTCCTCCGCCCCTGTCAGTCGGCATCCTGGTGTCGTCAGCCCCGCCTCCGTCTCGTCTCCTCCCTCCATTGGCTCCACCATGGGTCCTCCCTCCATCTGCTCCGCCCTGGTCTCGCCCTCAGCCTGCTCCGCCATGGCCACGCCCTCAGCCTGCTCCGCCCTGCTCCGCCCGGGCCACGCCCTCAGCCTGCTCCGCCCTGGCCACGCCCCGCTCAGCCTTCAGCTCGCCCTCCCTCCTCTGTTCTACGACGTGAGGCCACGCCTTCCGGGAGGGGGGAGTTCTGTCACAGTCTCCGTCTGCACCTTCCTGTCTGCGTCTTCTTCACTACACTTCCCAGGATCCTCTTGTCTCCACACCTGAACTCACTCCCTCATCAACCACCTGTACATCGTCTTCATCATCTGTGTCACCTGTTTTCATCTCATTATGTTTGATTCCTCCTTGTATTTAGTTCCTCTGTTTCATTCAGTTATTGTCGGTCGTTGTAGATGTTACCCTGAGTGTTCCTGCCTGTCTTTTGTACCTGTACCTGTTTTTGAGTGATCAAGTAAAGTAATTAAATTGGAGCTTTTGCCTCTTCGGTCTTCTTCTTCTGCCTACACTCCTCTACAAACCGTGACAGATGTAAGAAATCAGAAGGGAAAAATTTGGTTTTAAAAATATGTTCTGGAAATTTGAACTGTTCTTTGCACAAGTGGATTTTGGCAGATATCTCCCAGAAGAAAGAGCTCCAGACATGTTTCCTAAAAGATTTCCAGATCTGAAATGCATTCATAAGTCTAGTCTATTTTTAAAGCAATATACGATCAGATTAGAATCTACCTTTATTATTATACAACACACACACACACACAAAACTGAATTCATGGCATCATTGCAGTTAACGCCTCATTCTGCTTTCATGAAATGTTTCTCTTGCTCAAGTTCACTATGACCCTGTTCTTCTAGATCTCTGTTACCTGCAGGAACTGGATGTGATCCTGTGTGTGTGAAAGCTGCTCCAGCTCAGCCTCTCTCCTCTTTAGATCATTGATCTCCTGCTCCAGTCGCTCCAGTCGTCCTTCAGCTCCACTCACTGCAGTCTTTTCCTGATCTCTGATCAGCTTAGTCGCCTCAGAGCGGCTTCTCTCAATGGAGCGGATGAGCTCAGTGAAGATCCTCTCGCTGTCCTCCACTGCTGTCTGTGCAGAGCGCTGTTACACACACATCACAATCACACAGTGAGCTTCAGTGAGTCCTGACTGAAACTTCTCAAACTTCTCTTGCTCTCCAGACTCACCTTATGAGACGCCACAGCCTCTCTCAGCTGCTGAAGATCTTTCTCTCTCTGCTGGATCCTCTGCTGGAACAACCTCTGCGTCTCCTTCAGCTGCTTCTGCACCACAAATCAATAACAGAGACATTATAAATGTCAGTTTATAATGTGGTCACATATCTGTCAGGGTTCTGTCACTTTGGTCTAGTTTATTCTTGGTTTTGTGCCATAGCCTTGACACACCTGTATTGCCTTGTCTTTGTGTAAGTGTATGTTCACTTGTCTGTGTGCCTTGTTTCATGTTCGAAGTGTGGTGTTCAGATTCCAGCACTCATGTCTAGTTTGGTTTTGGTTCTGTGCCGGGATTCAGACATTCATGCTCTATGTGTTTGTATTCTGTTGTGAGTGCACAAGTTAAGCATTCACTCGTTCTCGTGCACTCTGACTTGTTGTCTAAGCATGTGGTTACGAGTTTGAAAAGTGTTTTTTAAACTCTGAAAAGTTTTTTTTGTCTGTTGCTACATTTACCTTTTATTAAAAAACCTGCATTAAATAATCTGTGAACATTTTCTATTATTTTATTTTGCTTCATCAAATCCTGTTTTACAAGTTTGTGGTGGTAAATATATTTACATTTAATTTCACTGTATTTTCTGTTAATTTTAGTATGGAGCACAAATACACTCCGCAGTGAAAACCCACTCCCTGCTTCTGTTCCCTTCTCCTGAAGTCTGCAGTGTGAATGATGTTACCCGATCATATGGGTGCCAATATAAATAGTGTCAACATGGTTTCATCAGTGTCTAGTTTAAAGTTCATACCTCTTTCTCCGTCCTCTGCGCTGCAGCTGTTACAGTGTCATGGTTTTTATGTTCATCCATCATACACAGCAGACATATAAACTTCTGATCAGTGCGGCAGAAAACCTCCAGGAGTTTATCATGTGTTTGGCAGATCATCTCCTGCAGTCGTCCAGTGGCTTCAGTCAGATTGTGTCTCTTTCTTTTAAAGAAACTCTCATGTTGTTCAAGGTGACTCTGACAGTAAGAGTTCAGACACACCAGACAGGAGTTGACAGCTTTGCGTTTTCTTCCATCACAGACGTCACACTGAACATCTCCAGCTCCAGCATTACAGTCATCAGGAGGTTTAGTCATCTTCAGTTTCTCCACCACTTTAGCCAGCATGATGTTTTTAGCTAAAGCAGGTCTTGGACTGAAGGTCTGTCTGCACTGAGGGCAGCTGTAGACTCTCATATGATTATTCTGATCCCAGAAGCTTGTAATACAGATCTTACAGAAACTGTGTCCACAGGAAGTGGTCACTGGATCCTTCAGGAGATCCAGACACACTAAACACTGGAACTCATCCTGAGAAATTCTGGCTTCTGTCATTTTTACTGCTTGAATACAGAGACACAAACACACAACAGCTCAACTACACTTCAGTTTCAGTTTCTCTGAACTGAAGAGTTTCCTGTTTGCTGGTTCTGTGTTTGAGTGACGTGTGAAAAACATGTGTCTGCAAATCTGTAAAGCGGGTTCCTCACTCCAAGTGTAGTTTCTATCTGTGTTGTGTTTTCTTCTTAATAAAATAGATCCCACACGATGATGAAGTTGTGATGTGATTTACTCTTGGCTTCTCTCAGTTTCTGTATCAAAATATAACAGACCCCATCAGACACTTATAACAAGGAGAATCTCTGGTCCGTGCCTCTCATTGCCACGGCATCCCGCGAAAGAGAGCGGGCGCCCGGAAATTACATCAGCTTTACCCTCACCCTAACACAACGTAACTTACGTAACATTTGGTACTTCCTTAACATTTTATTCAGATTAACACATTTATAAAAAGGGTAAAACAAAGACAATAACACAGAAATACAATATATATGTATATATATATATATATAAAGAAAATAACAACATATTTTGCTTATGGTCACATGACCATAAATTACTTGATTGTACTTAAACAAATTATTTCTAAATAAAATGCCCTTAAATTAATACCATTAGTTAACAATTCTTCCAATAATCTAGTGTAACAACATACACTCATAACATCCACCCCTATTGTTTTGAATTAGATTGTTGGACAGACCAACTTCTTGACATATCAGTGATGCCATTTCATATAAACCCCCTTAGGTTGTACAGCTTTAAAGCCATCTTGTTAAATTTAACAAACAGCAATTGCGGTCACAAACATGAGTAAAGTTAATTAGAAAACTTTGGGAACAATAGAACAAGTTCAAATTAGTTGCTTCTCTGTGTGGTGGTTCACGTGCGCTCCGCAAACACACTAGTGGACACACAGAAGATTGTGCACACAGTGCTACAAGACAGCGCTGATTGCTCAAATCATAAGCTGCAGAAAATGACAGGACCATAACAAAAAGAGAAGAACTGGTGACACACCCAGACCCATGAAACAATCTACCATTTGAAAAACCATGCAATATACAGTCCCACATACACTAACAATCACTCTCTATGCTGCTGATTTAGCTCTGCGCACCACCAGAGAATCGGCCAAGCTAGTGGGTCGATCTATGGCAGCCCTGGTGGCCGTAGAGAGGCATCTTTGGTTAAATCTAACAAATATGTAAGAAAAAGAGAAAGCTTTTCTTTTAGATGCACCTCTCTCTCCTTCTGGGTTATTTGGTGATGCTGTATACTCTTATATTGACAAAATTTCCAGGCAGCAGCTTTTAAAAAGTTCCTTCCCCTGAAAGTTCACGTCTGGGCGAGAGCAGCCCCGGCCGTCTACGAGCTCGTCACATAGGGCGCAGTAGAAACAGAGTGTCGCGTCTCGTGCTCCCTCTGCTGGACAGTGAGCTCAGAAGCGGCACTCTCAGCCGACGTTTTCAGAACATAGAACTGATCTGAGGACAGTTATATTAGCAAATAAGGTTTTGGATAAGAAGAAGTCCTGACCCATGAGTCCTGACCCATGACCAAGGAAGAAAGGTGTTCACCTCTTTTTACGGTGCCCCTTCTTCCTCTGTGCTGTCAGGGGCCCGTTACGCCAACCCCACCTTCATGCGCAGACGGGAACGTCACCTGATGGGCTGGACAATAATTCAATATAAATATATATCGCGATATTTTTTTTTTCGATAACGGTGATATGATTTTTAAACACATTTTCGATATTTCAATATAAATATAACAGCATTTGTCACTGACTGGCATTAGGCGCGCAGTTTTGTGATGACGTAGTACGTACACCACAGACACGCAGCCAGTGCTCACTGCTCAGCAGTCGTATGGCAATCTCCACCGCGGCAAGTTTTAACTACAAAAAATGAGCGAATTCAGTAGTATGGAAGTGGTTCGGCTATCGGACATCGGATAAATTTCAGGTTTCAGCGTGCTGCAAAATGTGCCGGAGAGTGGTGCCGACTAGCAGCGGGAACACATCAAATCTGTTCCACCATTTGAAGCAGTTCCACCCGATAGAACATTCTGAGAGTCAAAAGATGAGGTACTGGCAGCATAAAAGTTTAAGCCAACAACCTGAAACACTACCACCATCCTCATCACCAAAACCAGCTGTGTCAAAAGAGAAACCCATGCAGCAAACACAGATGTCTGCATTCATGCCGTATGACAAACAGTCTAAACGTCATAAAGACATTACAAAGGCTGTTACAAACTTCTTGGCTAAGGACATGATGTCGTTTAGTACGGTGGAAAACGTAGGGTTCAGGAAAATGATTTCAGTCATAGACCCCAGGTACGAGCTCCCTGGGCGAAAATATTTTTCACGCACGGCTATCCCTGCACTTTATGGTGAAGTAAGGGAAAGGGTGGAGGAACAACTGAAGTCAGCGTCATATTTTGCGACCACAGCTGACCTGTGGTCAAGCCGAACCTCAGAACCATACTTGAGCCTGACAGTCCACTTTATTGACCAAGACTGGAAGCTCGTCAGCTTATGCCTGCAGACGGTCTATTTTCCTGAGGACCACACGGGCGAAGCAATTGCAGACGGACTTGCAGATGCGCTCGCCTCCTGGGGACTCCGCGAGGACCGACAGGTCTGTATCACCACAGATAGCGGGACCAATATCATCAAAGCCGCTGAGTTGAACAGATGGACAAGACTGCAATGCTTCGGGCATCGACTGAACTCTGCTATTGTTAAGTTATACACAGCTAATATAAATGGTAGTGTTACGTTAAAGCTTTTTAGTTAAAATTAGCTAAATTTATATAATGAGCCAGTATATCATGAATCCAATATCCAACCCGTGTTTTCGTCTTATCCTGGATCACTACGGTACACCTATAATAAGCGTTTATATTCGGACTATTTTACTTCGGCTCGGCTCCGCTGCAGAGTAGCCCAGTTACAGTACCTGCGTGATTCGTCATAGACATAAACGGAGAGAAGTAGTTCCAATATACATATTGCAATTTTAAATGTTTCTCTTTATCTGTCTACAGGGAAAGTTAACCAAGACAAGCGGGTGGACAGAGCAATTGGGATCTGTAAAAAGGTGGTGGCTGCCTTCTCCTACTCTCGGAAGAAGAAACGGGACCTCGCAGCTGCTCAGGAGGAGTATCACTTGCCAAAGCACAAGCTCATCAGTGAAACACCAACAAGATGGGGCTCCCGTCAACAAATGGTGAAGAGGGTTCTGGAGCAGAAAAGGGCCATCATTGAAGTCCTTTTAAAGGACAAGAAGACCAGGCCACTGGTTCCTACCTGGCAAGATGTGGATGTTTTAGAGTCTAAAGAGTCCAGACATCTGCCATTCCTCAAAATTCTCAACCTCTGTCATGGATGTTAATGGAAACACAACTGGGTTTGGAAATTTGGAAAATAATGTGCAAACGTTAAACCACATTAAATCACCTCACCTCCCACAGAGAAATAATTCCATCCAAAAAAAGCTTTTTACCCAGTTATTAATTACCAAAAACATTTTTACTCAAATCTCCGCTAAATCTAATGACCATTTGCTAACGAAGTTATGGTTTTACACAATCATTTCAGAAATAAAATCATGCTGCATGTAAATTACAGTATGAACGGTAATGTTACATGTTAAGTAACGTTTACTGTACAAATAAAGCATATTTGAACTATTCTTACCGTGTTCTGTGTTTTCCGACTCGACTTGCCGTTGTAGGTTTTTCACAGTGCGGCGACAGTTAAAATAGGCATGTTTGGTCAGCGGGTCTGCCCAGCGTCTGTAGCGAGCCTGAATTCAACATTCATCAGTCTACAGTTAGCCAAATTATTACAACCTGGGCCAATTTTTTGTACACCGCTCTTGGCTCTGTCCGCATAATGATGTCTGAGGATGAAGTCAAGATGACTCTACCTGATGACTTCCAGGACCTAGACACACAAATGGTGATGGACTGCACTGGACTGAAGGGTTTAGGGGCTGTCCGACAAGCTGACATGAACAACAGTGTAACGGACATAATCTGTTACTGTTAATTTACTGTTGTTGGAACACTAGTGTAATGTTTTAGGTCATGTGTAGTTGCATCAAGAGCCACTTGAGGGTGCTATTGCCAGATGGTAACCTATATAAACACACCTACCATAGAGGAAGAGAGTTCGTTTGGTAGAGGGAAATCCATTGTTTGGTTAACCTCATGCTACCTACTGAATTTTGTTGATGGTCCTTTGTTGAGAACCTTGAGTTTCTGCTCAACTGTAAGTATGGATGATGTGATGTATGGATGATGTTGTACTTATTTCATTGATGTTAAGATGTGCTTTCTTTTTAGAAAGGACTTTTTGTTCACATGTTCTGTTATGAACATTGAGCAGAGGAATGGACAGTAAAGCCAAGTGGAAACTCCATTGGCAGTGAGACTACACCACATGGACAGTATCGGGGTACAGGGAACAAACATTGCACTGGCTACTGTGATGTAGGATGTGACTTTTTCTCACATTGGTGGATAGTTGGATCACAATCATTGCATCGCACTCAAAATTGCCCTTGTGGAGGATATGTTCATCGTCATCATCAGCATCATCAATGTAACCTCTCAAAGGACTGAACATATCAGAGTTAAGTTTACTTCATTGAATGGCTTCATTGTTAAAGAGATGGAGAGCTTGAGAGTGCTTTGTAATCTGTTTATTGAGAGTTTGGCACATGGATTTAGCACAGTGGTGTAAATAAAAGAGGTTTAATGTTATTTTGTTTGTGAGGATATTTCTTAATCAGTACAGGTTCAAAGATTTCTGTTGAACCCCTCAGAGTAACAGCTTTAAAAGAAATGAGGTGTTACACAGTGGCGCCCGAACAGGGACTTAAACCCTGGACCCTCAGATAGATTTAGATTTCCGATAGATTTCGATTAATACGCTCAGTCAGGTTTGATTGAGGATGATAAGCCGTTGTGAGTTTTTGGGTTACTTGCCACTGCTTGCACAACTGATCCAGGAGTTTTGAGGTGAATTGAGTGCCTCTATCAGAAACAATAAAGGCTGGTGTTCCCCACCTTGTAAATATCTCTTCGATAAGAATACGAATGATGTTGTTAGATTTGGCAGATCTCATAGGGAAAACCTCTACCCACTTAGAGAAGTAGTCTACCACTACTAGAAGATATTCATTCTGACGGGTACTCCGTGGGAATGGTCCCATAATGTCCATTCCGAGCATGTATCCGGGCTCAACAATAGGTACACTTTGAAGACCTCCTGCTGGCTTCAAATTTGTAGACTTATGCTGTTGACATTTTCCACAC